ATGGAAAGAAGGAATAATATTGATAATGCAATTTTTGATTACTGTGTCGGTGTAATACTGTGATGGGGACAGCAAAAAACCAAACAATCTACAATAAACTTGTAAACCGTATAGTTCAACATCAGCTGGTTAAAAACATAATAAAGTCAATCCAAGAAACATAATATTCACCAATTTTCTTAAGATATATCAAGTTATTCGATTTTATGTCCATTCGACCTTTTGAACTTCTTTGAACCATTAGACCTTCAGTCCATTCGACGATTTGTCCATTCGACTTTTTGTACGTCTTCTCATCGTTCGACCTTTTGTCTCCCTTCGAATAATGGGACCTTTTATCCATTCGACATTTAGTCCCCCTTCTTAGCATTCGACCTTTTGTCATTTGACGTTTTGTTATTCGACGTTTTTTCTGTCGACCATTTGTCCCACAATCAGAAAAAATAATGTCTTTCTGGGAAATATAAACAATTTTTTTTTATCAAGCGCAAGTTAATAAAAAATGTTAAAAACCCGAAAAGCCCAAATTGTTGTCGCCCGGTTTTTGAAGAAAAAAACTACAAGGGAAAGCCCTATGGGATTGTACGTAATGGTGACGTAGGACTACGTGGTCTTATATAATAAATCTTATTTGTTAACTGCAGCAGAAGCTTGTGTTTTGTGTAGAAATAGGAGTTTGAGCGGGGTTCTCTCTGTTTATACTCTTTAGTATGACTATGATTGCCCTGAAAAGAACCTTTTGATATGGATTTTAGTTAGGACATGTTCAGAAATTGAATTCTTTTGGAAAATCTCGGTGGCCCTGAAAAGGGCCGATAGTATCACAGTTTTTTTTTAAGGCTTTATTAAAGAGATTTTTAGCCTTAGGCTAGTTCATCTCTAGTTAGTATCACAGGTTTAAAGCCTTTGGAAGATGATGATGGCGTGTAGGCAGCTGGATCAGCAAATCGGACCGGACAATCCCATAGTACGGCACAAGAATCTCGGCCCATCTGCTGCTGGACGGGGGTTAAACTGGCGTCTGCGACAGGTTGGAGGACCGCAGCGCGGGAAACCTCAACCTTGAATGGGCACTCGGAAGATTCTCGACCCGGCTACTGCTGGACACGGGTTGACCGCGGTGGTTGGATACCTCAACTTCGCTGCGATAAATGGGCACTCAGAAGAGTCTCGGCTTGGTTGCTTCAGGATTAGAAGCTTGGTTGCTACCGTTGTGCTGGTTCCTTTTGCTGATCGTTGCGATGGTTCTACTTCCACACTTGGGTAGTTGCTTTGTTGTCTCGACCCGGCTGCTGCTAGCTGGACACGGGTGCTTCGTAGAGTACACTTGCTTCCAAGTTTGGTTACAAGATTACAACTTTGGAGAGCATTTTGTGTTGTCGTTAGGGGCGTGTTGTTCTGAATATGGCGATGAGTGTGCAAAATATTACTCAATTGCTCCTCCTATTCACACACGAAGATAGGAGGCGAATGCCACTTCGTCATGCTTCGTCTAGAAAAGATTCCCTGATGACTGTGTTGGGGAAGCAGCATATGCATGTATGCAATTGGTGAATTTGTTAGTTATTTCGACGCTTTTGAACAATGCTTGACATTTTCCACCTTTTCAATACTTTCTTGTTGAAAATCAACAGTTGGTCGGTGCGTAGAAATATTACTAAGCGAATGGTGATAAAATTATTGAAATTGGTCCAGGGGCGTTCAGAACCTTTCATAATTTCATTACATGTTCCATTTTCGGTTTTCACAAAGTGTACCCCCATATAGAAATCACAGACGTAGTCCTACGTCAAAATTAAAAGCTTATGAAAAAAGCAAACTTTCAAACTTTAAAATGTTCCAAACCATGAACACTTGAAAGCTGATAAAAATCGTAGCACAAGAACTTTTGGTAAAAATTACGAACTTTGCAAAAGTTCTGGTTCTACGATTTAAAATTTTAAGTGTCCATAATTTTAAACATTTCAATTTCTTACAAGCTTTTTTTTGACCATCTTTATTCATATTCGTGCCACTGTGCGGCTGTTTGGGAGAGAGAGAAACATGTACATGTGCTACACGATATTAATTTTCTACTGGTATTATCCAATTTATTTATGTACCAGGCCTTATTGCTGATGATATTCCTATAGCAAATGTGCTCTCACCTCTCCTCCCATCATACTCTGGGGGAACGGAAGATCCGTACAAAAGCAAATACCCGAAAAGCGAAATGCAGCTCTCCAGCTTATCAACTCAGCTCCGGATCCGAATCATTGACTCGAATGATTCACTGGGAGCTGTTTAGAAGTGCTGATAAAAATCATTTCTTCTACACTCAAATACATTGAAAATAAAGGCAACCTTGAAAGATAAACCGACTACCTGCATGAATTTGAATTTTGACATGATAACATGCTCTTGATCAAGGCAACCGCTGAGTTTCGAAGTCAACAATAATTTTTGTTTCGTTCATTCAAATATGCGTATTCATTATCGCCTGTTCTGTTGTCATATCAATGTTCATAATCATCTTGGTGGGGATGATTTTGAGTATCAAATGCGAAATGATTATTTTGGTTTTACACACATATACCGTTGTGGAACGTGTTATGTTGCTTTTTTCACTCATTCAAAATAATCATTTATGGCAAAATGAATCTGATTTTTTTGCTTTTGAGGATCGTTTCCGATTTTGAGAATTTTGGGTTGGAAACTCAAGCGTTGATGAATATCAACAAACGCGTATTCGTCGATGGATAATGATCTCATGTGTTAATTTCACTCGTACGTTGACAGCGAAGCTTTTCAAAACAACAGCAATTCAACTACACTGGGTAGAAGCGATAGTCAGTGCGTCTGAGGCTATTTATCGTAGATATTCGTAGCAACATTTTCAACAAAGATTTAGCTAGGCCAATTGTTATTAATTATATTGCCTACATAGCACAATTAGCTTAATGCTGGAATAAATTTGATTTTGAATCTTGTCTGAAAATTTGCCGGATTCCTAAAAAAGAATAATCTCAAATCTGTGAAAATGCAAACAGCAAAAGCAACTAAAACGAGCACATAAATTTCAATTAGTAACTAACGATTGCAACTACCACTGACTGGCATCAATAGAAGCTCCCGTTACAAGTATTTCCAATCAGAGTTTCCCAATTATCACCAACCACCGTTGGACTCCGCAGCAAACATGACGTGACTTAATTAATCCCTCCCCCATCGAATGCTGCAATTTGGCGTTATCTGTCGTAGCAGTGCAGCTTATTACTCTGTTCTTGTTTACTGGTGAACATTTTCAAACAACTTCATCCCGTCGATACCAACTTACTCTCGACAACAACGTCCATCCGTAATTGGCATCTACCCACGCATACACACACACACTCACATACAACAAGTAATCAGCAATAAATCAAACTTTTGCAAATAGTCACATTCACAGTTCAGCCTTTTGCCAACCCAAACCGCGCCAACTTTGGGTGCACAAATTGACTCATTTATTGAGCATTTCGAAATTTTCGCGCGTTGCTAGCATGTAGGAAATTATAATCCTCTTAACAACCACCGTCGACAAGGGGAGGAAGTTGGGCATCACATCAGCCGAGCACACCCATTCCTCAATTCCGGCAGAGGGGTTGCACGTGAACTAGTAATTAATCTTCCTCGTACAACAACAACACCAACAACTGCTCCGGCAATGATTTCGTTGTTTTCCGGATGCTTGAGTTGCTGATTTAGTACCCATCGTCAGGGCTCTTGTAGGATACACGAACTACACACCCTCACATCCACACGTGTGGAGCAGGATAGGTACTTGAAATGGATCTCATAAATGTTGCAACATGCCACACTTGGCGATGATTTAAGGGTGTAATCAGAGATCCTAGAGTGTTTTAACGAGGGGGTGGGAGCCCGGGGGTTACGCCCTGGGAACAAAAGCCGAATCACACATGTTCCAGGATGACGATGATGATGGGTGTAGTAAATTTTACTACTTGGAAACTGACGACGACGACGACGATGTTCAGGAATGGGGTTTTGACATAGATTTGCGGTCAGAACGTTCAGCTTCGTGACATTTGGGGTGTAGGGAGTGGCGGGGAATCAATTTATCCGTTCTTCCGGGAATTATGATGCATGGAAGGAACTGTGAGAAATTTTGGACTAAGGACCGTTTAGGAATGCATTGAAATTTAATAGTATGGAGTGGAATTTCTGAAAAGTAGTATTCAGGCGATCACCGATAGGGATGCAATCCCAGTAAAGGTGCCTTAAATATAAAATAGTGCTCTAATTTCCCGCCGTTGTTTCACGTTATTGAAGTACTACAGGAAATAACAAAAAAATGTTAATCCTCGCATCTCATTTCCTTTATATTAAGTACCATCGAATCAGTATAATCTGCAACCGTAAACATAGGTGAAGGCGGTCCAACATCTGTTGTAGTCATCTGGGCGCCCAGCGCTCATGAATTATTTATTAGACTAATTGCAGGCGTTTATCGAGGGACTTTTGTTCCCGAAGCAAAAGCCAATTCATCATCCGAACCTACTTCGGCTCCCCTTACCATCTTTCCGGGAGGAAAGCAAGCCTTTGTTGAACGGCATTGCACTTAACCTTAGACGCCAACTCAAAGTTGAACGACGTCGATTTTAATCTGCCATCAAACCAAATTAATCACCTATCACAATCACTGACACCCACACAAACGCACACACGCACTCAGGCAGGCAGGCAGGCAAAACTTAATCACCACTGGCGAATAATTAATTATACCGGGATTAGCGCCTGCAACTATGCACCGCCACTCATCTTTCACTGCTGCTGCTGCTGCCATCTTCGGTGCAATGTTAGCAAATTTATATTCGTTTTCTGATATGATCGTCTTTTAACTAATTGCCGAATTATCTTCTCTTTTCATCTACTGCAATGATTTATTTCTGTTCATCTAATGCAAAAAAAAATGCACTGACCCCCACGCTTGCACTGAATTCCGAACACGCCATCGCAAGTGGTGGGACGAAGTAATGGATATCTTCAACGGGGTACGACATACAGTTTTCTTTGTCCGTTACTTTCTTTTTCCTAATCCTGTTTGAACTTTGTATTCTTCTTCTTATTCTAAATCTTCTTCTTGTATGTGTGTCTTTCGGTTTTCTTTGTTTCCTACCCTAAGTAGTGCGTACATGTAGGAGTAGTGTGAACCCTTCCTTGGAACGGAACTTCTCTATCGCCCCTTTGCTTGCTACTTAACACCCTTGTGTGGACTTAACGCTAATAAGTGGAGGAAAGACATTGGATACATTCTCCTTGGAGCGGGAAATTGAAAATCTGAGTAACTAACACTTAAAAGGGCTCTCGAGCTTCGGGTTTCAGGCTTACTTGGTGGTTTTACGTGCGATTTTTGCAGGATTCTAATGCTTCGATTACAAATTAAAAAAATACTAATTGGATTTGACGATATTAACAACGATCTTAATTATTCTAACATTATTAAAAGCATTCTATTTACCAACCTTAATTGGATCAAAAATATAAAACTGTCCTAGTATTCTACAGGTTTATCGGCAGTTTTTCCGGTACTATTTGTCTCACCTTTTCCCATTTTCGCGGGTACACAACTGACGATCTGGTTTATGGCTGAAGCTGAAAACGCTGCCCAATTAATCAACAAGCTCGCTAATTCTAGATAGAGCTGGAATTGGGCGTAAAAGCTTTTGTAAACAATGACTTCTCTTGATGATTACTAGACAGTCAAGGCTCGACTTCCACAGTCAAGGCTCGACTTCCCCTACTCGATGGTGACGTTGATTTGAGTGGTCGAGCCTTGGCTTTCTAGAAATCATCGAGAGAAGTCATTGTTTACAAAAGCTGTTAAGCCCTAATTCCAGCTCTATCTAGAATTGCACTTTTGAACAGTTCCCAGAAAAACAGCGAAAAATCATTGAATTTTTAAATCGCCTTTTCCGATTTGTGTGAAACTTTACGTAATTGTTTGTTGAGGGCAATAATTCACATTTTTTGCTTAGATTTGGCCATTTTGAATCATATAATATTTTCCAAAATGAAGTCCTTGAAATATTTAAAAAAAATTGTAACAAGGAAGTGGCATTTTTGAACGAAATGACGCCTGAGACCAAGTTATAGAGAAACACTATTTTTCGGGTCACTCTTTAGTAAAGACTGACTAAAAGTAAATTGGTACATACAAAAAGTCCAGTAATTCCTGATTCAATAAGTTTAAAAAGTCCATTAATGGCTGCTTTATTAAAACTTCAAAGTTACAGCACTAGAAGGTTACATTTCTCCAATTCGAACGAAATCTCGAACCTTCCTGTTGATGGAGCCCATCAGCGCCCGCACAGTGAAAACGGACACGGTATCAGCGGATTTCTTCCATTTTGCCCGCATTTGCTGGATGTCCTTGACTGCCCCGCCGCTTCGTCGAAGTCGCTGCTTTGAAATTGCCCAGTATTTTTCGATTGGTCGAAATTCCGGGCAATTCGGAGGATTCATTAGCTTGGGGACAATATCGATCTTGTTGGCAGCATACCACTCCAGAACCACCTTGGAGTACTGGCAGCTGACCAAATTGGGCCAGAAGATGACTTTGCCCCCTATGATTGCAGATGAACGGCAATACATGCTTTTTCAGGCATTCTTCGATGTAAACTTGGGATGTCATCGTCGAGGATGTGACGAATGGTTCCGTTTTCAGGCAACAACTGCAAATCGCTTACCACTTCCACCACTTCGTAAACTTGACGGCAACCACGAACTTGAATCTTCCCGGCACATTCCCAGGTCCAGTCGCGATGCAAAACTTTTGACCGGGAAGCTGCTTAAAATCGAGTTTGACGCATGTTTCGATCAAAGTGCAGCCCTTGTGTTTCGTCAAAACACGGTCGTACAAGAGCCTTGCAATTGTGCTTCATGTGCCGGTTCGGATGTTTACTGGCTTTGTACGACTGGTGTTCTTCCCTGGCAAGGATGTTCCGCACCGTTTGAAAGTTGGCGTTGTACCTTCTGGCCACATCTCGGATCGAAAGACCGGGGTTGGCTTTAACGCACGTCAACACCTTGCTGCGCAGCTTTTTTCGTAGGTTCCACTGATTCCTTTCCACACTCAGCGTTTCCTAGTAGGTTTTGAGCACTCGACAAACTGTTGTTTTCGGCATCTTTAGCACTTTAGCCAGCTTGGAACTGGACCACTCCGGATTTTCCAGATGTTTATGCACAATATTTTTTCTTCTTTCGAGTTCCATTTGACGTTATTTCTGAACGCGATCGACTACTTTGATCAAACTTGCAGCAGTTGTTCTCTATAGAAGTGTAAACAAACCACTGTCAAATATTTTCGATTCCCAACAATAGAGGCGTGCTAGCAGTGCACGAGGGGCGTACCAATTTACTTTTTGTCAGCCTTTACGTTTAAAAGCTGATCAACCTACATAACTTTGTAAACTGCAACCCATTTATTAATTATCCCTTAAACCCTAACTGCAATACTGTTTCTATTACATTGATTGTACCATTATACAAATGCGTTCTTAAAGACTTGTCAACGAGAAGCCAACACGGAAAAATGATTAACAATATTATCCCAATTGCGAATGAAGACGCCACCAATTTGTCATAAATCTAGCCAAACAAACAAAACCATTCATGGCAGGACAGAAAAGAAAATCCTATAGACTGAATTCCAAACATCTCATCAACCGTAATGGGATAAGATCAAGTCTTCATCTGATTGATTTCCGGAGCTAAGACTCAGTTCGATAAATTACTTTTCTCTACCAGTCTCTGTCAACCATGTCTCTGCTTATCTCCTATTAAGAGCAATGTATCCATGCCCTCTAATACATGTATGTGTGTGTGTATGACCCCTCCCATCTAGGCTCCTAATCAATCACTCCAACTCCCTCGTCCTCACTCCATCAGTATGGCCGCCGGAAACAAGCCAAAAGAAACTAATCTGTAACTTCTCCATATCTCTTTCATGCTTTCGCTTCACTCTCTATCTCACAACCTCTCTCTACAACGCATCAACAACAATCTCTGTGTGTTTTCCAACAACATTTTCACCATCACCGAACAACAACTTTCTCGACATCAACAACTTGGCATGTGACAATCGTTCAATAATTACCAAAAACAATCATAAAATTACACCACTGTTCACGGTACGTTAGTGGCTAGACGAGCATTACTCCCCTGTGCCCCTGTTCTGCATTGTGTTCGCTCGAGAAGTGCAAAAATTTGTAAGTGTTTGCATCACCCCTCCCTCGTTTGATCGAAAAATTAAAAAAAAAAAAAAAAACACCAAAGCATCTCACCTACTGACACCAAGCACACACCTTGCACCGAACCACGCTCACTCCTTCTCACACCAACTTGTCTTGCTAATTAATTTTATCTGCTGCTGCCATCGCGTCGGTCGTCCTCTTGAGCTTTCCCGGAGGATGACCTCAACTGGTTGATCTAACGATGCGGGTTGGTTGCAATTTAGCTCCTTTATCACTAACACAGAAAGGCTAAAAGAAGCCAACGCTTTCGGTTTAGGTTTTGGGTTTTTCTGCTTGAATTCTGTTCTACACCTTTCGCAATGCCCTGGTTTCTTTCCGTGTTCAGACATTTTAAAACCGAACAACAGAACAAAACACTCTCTGTCAACATTCTAAACAGCTTCTTTGATACAACAATACAAGACTTGTGTAGTTCTTAATTTAGAAGACACTCTTTGTGCTAGTAGATATGGCAAACAGTTAAGTCTGTGAGGTTGGAGATGATGCTAATCTGTTTCTGTGTTCCACTTTTTTCTTTTTTTTTCCTTCTTATCCACACAACAGCAGCTGGAACAGCAGAAACTCAGTACCAGTAAGACGTACACGGAAGGAAATTTGTCCAGGTAAGTGCATATAGTCTCATCAACAACCGACGATAACGTCTGCAATGCAAAACGTTAGCGCTGACGTTATCCACGGTTATAGATTAACAACTATGGACTACTCGCAAATTTCGATGATTAGGAGCTTTAGACTGTCCGTCGTTATGAAAAGGGGATTGAAGTTAAAGAACACTTCATTGGATTTCTAAATTATTCGAGATTAACCATTCGTTACTCGCGTCAACTTTTGTAACACAAGTTCTTTGTACAACAGTGTGAGTTTTCCACTGCCATTACGCTGCCGAGCTGCCAATCGATCTAAAACCAATGTGTATTCTTTAAAGGGCTTGTTTTAAACTAAACAAGCTAAACTTTGACTACAGTAAACCCGCAAAAAATGCGGATAGTAAGGAAATGTAAATGGAAACCGCGTAAACGTTGTCCATACTACGTGAGATTTAACTTAATTGGTAACAACATGGAATTTCTCGAGATCCTGACCAGATAGAAAGTTACTGACTTGCGCAAAGTTGTTCAGGAGATCATCACCTTTTTGCTGGTGGACAGTGTGATATCTAACATGTGTTATTTACCATCAGTGACAAGACAAGCATAGAGCCACAGAACAGATAGGTAACTCCGAGCAAACGGTTTCATCTGAAACTGAGTTCATGCTTATCATGTATTTTTTGCTATTCCTTTCTATTTTCATTTCGCAGTGCACATGATGATTTTAAATCTTGTATAAATTGGTATAGTTACCGTTAAAACATTTAACTAATTGTTTGAACATGCAAACATTAAATTTTCTATTTCTTTTCAATGCTTGGCCAAAACAATCATTATTGACGTAATTCTAGCGGTTTTGTTTGAATAAGTGAATAGGGTATTACATTGCTTTGCATAAAATCACTATTAGTATAACAATTTGTTTGAACCAATTATAAACATATTTGATGGGATGTTGGTGAAATGTCTCGTACAACTATGCTACTGGCTGTTCCGACTCTGTATGATAATAATAAGATTCGATGCCTCCGCCATTCAATGGAATAGTGTGCACATTTTTTTCTGAGAGAAATGTGTTCGATGACTGAAAAGTTACAACTGTTATTGTGTGTGCACTTTTTTCGAAGACAATGCTTAAAGGTTTATTTTGCTTCAACCACAAAGTCAAAAAGTTAAATAACTTTCTTATTTCGCAACCAAAATCTATGAAAGTTTCAAGGCACATTGAAAAAAAACGCAATATTTATCCAAGAAATAAGCAAAGCGCCACGAATCAATAGCAAGAAAACTAAACCAATTTCCTTACATAACCACTGATTTCAATGTTAAAAGTGTAAAGATTTGTCTTTATCAAGTGCACCAGCACGACTGTTGGAAGTTTAATAATTTGTAGGTCACGACTAAGTGAATTATTTGTAATTTACGTCATGTCAAATAGTCCAAAAATATTAACTATTTAAAAAAATCTAAAATTTGACTGCATTGACGCCCTCTTGTGTGCAATATATAGTTTCAAATACATTTGATGAATTTTTAATGATGTTTATACCTTAAATTCATAAATCCACTAATAAGCTAAAACTATACAAATATGCCAATAAAGATCATGTGTCAAATAAGCTGTGCAATAGACTGATGCAAAGTTTGACTTTTTCGCTCCACAGTGCTTAAATGGTTTCAAATCGGGTCCTGATTGGCCTCCCAAAGTTACAACTCATTTGGTTAGAAACAGACTTCGCACAAGACATTTGAAGTTTACATGTAAATTACTATGGGAAATCTCAACTTTTTGTTCATTGCCTTCCAGTCTTTTTTCCATATTGAGCTGCGAAACAGTTCGATAGCCATTCTTATAGAAAATTTTCTCAGCTACAACTTTGCTGAAGATCGTTTCTATGTAAAACGAGACAAGAAAAAGTTATTAATTATTTAAGAGATTGGTAATCTTATGACATGATCAAGCAGCTGTTTTGTGGGCAACACTGTATTTTGCAGTGTGACATAGTAGCCATGATTTGTGTGTACACGGTAAGAAAAAAGTACCCAACGGAAAGTTCACTTTTACCTACTTTTGACTAGTTTGTCTCCTTTTCTCCTTCTAATGTTGTCAAAAACGGAGGAGCAAAACCACCCAACAGGGGTAGTAAAGTGTGGGAACCCAACGTTGAGTATAATCATATTTACCTACTTTTGGGTACAACTAACTTACTTTTGGTTAAAAAGCCAGTGGAAAATTCCATACGAATTGCACACAAGTAAATGAAATTTACTTTGACCCGCTTTACCTACTTTTGGGTTCCTGCACTATAGTGCCGAGATGAGTGAAAAGAACTTAATTTTGGGTACTTTTTTCTAACCGTGTAGTATTCAACGCCCCAAAAAACCAATGTTGCCTGCTGAGCAGTTGATTGAGCATGATCATAAGACATCAGCGCATTGAACCATTGATAACTTTCGATCCTTGCATTTAATTGAAAAGTGGTCTTCAGCAAAGTTGTAACTGGAAAAATTTCCTACAAGTTCAGTTGAAAACTTTTGTAGCAGACCGATATGGCAAATTATTAGATAGACATGAACAAAAATCTTGGTTTTACCATAGTAATTCCCATACAAACTTCAAATGATTTGTGCCATCTCAGTTTCTCACCAAATGGGTTCAAATTTTGAGAGGTTAGTCAGGATCCGATTTGGAATCGTTTAAGTATTGTGGAGCGAAAATTTCAAATTTTGCATCACTCTACTGTGCATGCATAACATAATTATAATCCGTTGCGTTTGGCTTTTCAATACTAGCAATCTTTAGTAAAAAAAATGATTTAGCGTACTTTAATAAAACGGTAAAGTTTTCATTTGATTCACATGATCAAAATATTAGGATAGTACTGTACAATTCTTGTTGTCAATTATACCAGAACCAGCAATGCCAAATTGAAAGAAAAATATTAAATCCTAGAACACAACTAACCTTGGATTAAAAACTGCTAAAGCCACTATGTACTGATGAGCATACAAATGTTACATGTAAAAGTAACATGACAACATATTGAATTATTTGATCAAAAAAGTCAAAGGCATTAAGCAAAGGAATGCAAAAATTATTATCACACACGCAACGAATCGAAAAGTCTGGGAAAACTGGCAACTGGCCAATTCCTATGTCGAGTGTGGTGTCCCAATAACTGCTACCAGGAGGACTGAAAGAACAAAAGAGACGGCAAGTTACTATAAATATGCTACATAACAGATAAGCTCGTATTCGCTTTCCCTCTCATAAATCGTAAACAATGGGGTCATCCGTCGTGAATGGAACGATTTTTTTTTTCTACGACGAAATGCATTATCATTTCGCTTTTTCTGAACCACGGTTTTTACGCATAAAAAGTGAAAGAAGGAACGTGTTTTGCTTTTTAACACAAACGCAGACGGCTATGAGAAATGCCATTGGGGTAAAGAGAGTTTCCCTGCCATTCCTTCGACATATCCTCTAACAACCCAAGTTATTTTCAAATCCTACAGGTAGAGTGATCTGCATGTGTATTGAATATAGTTTTGAGAATTCAGGATGAATGAAACATTGAATATTTTTTAATTGGGTTCTCTAAGGGTATTGAGGTAAAGGCATATTCGTAATCTACATTAAACATGGAATCGAAATCCGAAATTTGATCAAAATTAGAGCACCGGAACTTTTTTAAATAAGTGCGATTACATTAGCAAATATCGCCATCTTAGCGCCCCTCAGTGGGACTTTGTATGGGAGCGAGCTGTCAATTTGTTAGTTTAGTGTCAAATAGTGGAGTTAATATTTTTCCTTTAACTTTGATTTTAAAATCGAGATGAAAGTCTACGGATTTAAAAAAAATAGCGTTGTGCTAAAAAAACGGAGTTCTTTCAGATGATGTATAAAAATCGACACTCTTTTATAAAATTAAAAACAACCCAATTAGGGGGAATGTCGGTTTCGGAACTTCTTTCCCTTTTACCGCAAGGGGAGTAAATGAAGTCTTAGAGTGTTATTTTTTTGCAGAACGACCCTAATAAACGGGTACCATACACTAACAATAACATTAATAGTATGAGCATACCACATAAAGTTGGGATGATATCCCGAATTGGTGGTTAGGCGCTTCTTATGGTTATTGTTTATGCGGGAATGCATTGGAACATGATACAAATAAATACCCACTGATGATAATAGGTAAAGAAGCATTTCCCCTATTTTCTATCGTTAAACTTTAAATATGTTTTATTCCAAATGTGTTTTTGAATATCAAAGTGTACGGAATTATGATAATCGTACTAGAATTAGCAGAAAAGCATAAATAGTTTTTCTTTGATGTGATCGTCTCACTTCACAATTAGCATTTTACTTACCCTTTGCTTTTGCAGGAAGCATTGATGAAATCTGTGGATAGGAAGTGATATGAGCATACAATAGATAGTAGATAGATTTAGAGGCATGAAATGTAAAATACTTGGCGTAGAGTGATTCGCTAGCGTTAGATTTTTCGAGCATCTAGGATTGAGGTTGAGATGTATCGCCCCTCGATAATGTCACTATTACTAAACAAAAAAAAAATTTTGAAAAGAAATTGCCGATTTTTCTAAAATCTCCATACTGCCAAACAGCTTTATCCACTGCAGTTTGTTTTGGTTGCGTATTTTTTGGTAATATAGCTAATAAACTATAGAGACAGCGCTACAGTATCTCTCCTGAATTCTGGCAGAGTTGCCAGTCTTCTTGATATGATGTCTTCGGTATAATTGTATTTGCCACACAATTATGCTAATGTAAAATGATACCGGCATTGAAAGCTCTCAATAAATAACTGTGGAAGCGCATCTAGAACACTAAGCTTAGAGCACGCAATAAGTTTATATGCAAAGTAGAAGAAGAAACATAAGATTTCAAAACAAGCATATTATCTAAAAAATGAATGAGATGTTCTCATCTTTCCTACAGACACTCTATACATAAGCACTAACAGAAGTGTACACACCTTTCAATATAT